CTTCCTATAATGAAGAAGATATTAATACATGTTAACATAAAATTATGATAAAATAAATTATTTCATACCATCGAAACTTCATTATCATTGTAAACCAATCTGAATTTGAGCACTTTTTTTTGAGCCGTCGGTTGGGAGTTTGAATGTGCTGCGTTGTTCATTGCAATTTCATTTATAGTCATTTCTCTATCGGAAAGAACCGCAGAAGAAGGAGCGATTTGTGGATATGTCGTCATGACAGTATTTGCAGCGTAAGGAGCATATGATGGCTGACCTGATGAAGACATTCCAGAATCTGGAACTTGTGAGTAAATTTGAGATGCAGGTGCAATATTATTAACCAAAAGAAGTGGATAGACCGCTGATTGTCTCATTGTAGTTGATTGAATCTGTCTTCTATATGGTGGTTGACTGACACCTGATACTGGAAGACTCCATGGTAGAGATTGTCCAGGAACTTTACTTGATAAATGTGTAAAATATGTTAATATATGAATGAAATCAAAATAAATAATTAGTTTCTACTAACCCCGGTTGGTATGGAGAATCAGGTAAATATATTTGAGCTGAAGTAACACCAGGACTTTGATAAAATTTACTATACTGGTGAGGTATCAACGATGCCATATGTTGTTGTACAGTATAACCAGAATGAAGGAAAGATTGGCCATCTTTTGAATTAATTTTCATCATCGCTTGATGTTGTGCAAGTCGCTTTTTAATTTCCTCACTAGAAAGTTCCATAGGTTCTTCAACTTTAACTCTCTTTGATGGCTGATTATTTTCAATTGCACGCATATGAGCTATCATATCAGCTTGGGGGATTCCTTCCATACCGAATATTTCTACTTTCGTTGATTCCCGTCCTTTTAATGCATTTGAAACCCTAAAATCAATTTTAAATGGATGAACAAAAATAATTAAGTAATTAAATTTTTCTTCTAAACTTAAATAAGACTATCAAGCAGCCCTAAGATAATTTTTTTTTTCAGAATGAGATTCGAGATTTT